TGCGTTTATTTCACACGATTTTTCTCTTGCGTTACACAAGGACATGTCTTCAACAGGCATGGGAGTGGCCAGCGTCCATGAGACTAAGGCCCTAGGACCTAGGAGCATCAGAGCCGAGATCATGCGCCTTCACAATGTAGGCATGTATGCAATTCCAGTGAAACTGGTTTGGGACCCGAAAAAGGGTAAGAAGGATCCAAAATTTCCCCATACTTGGCGTCAGATGATCGATCCAAAGTCGTGGAGAGAATCAATAGAAACAGCTCTCTTGCAACGGCCCGATGCCAACGGGCTTGCGATCTTGACCGGTACGAGTGGACTATTTGCAATCGATGTTGACAATGATTCTAACAATCCCAAGAAGCTTCCCGGAACTGAACTCTGGAATCGCTTGATCGATGCTCACGGCGAACCGAAGACCCTGAAGGCCCGCACTGCTTCAGGAGGGTTTCACTACGTATTCAAGGCTTGCAGCCCTGAATTATTCTCTCGGAAGAACTTCTCAACCGTGAAGGTTGGCAAAGACATCTGGGGGATAGATGGCCGATCCCTTGGTGGATGTATATTTGCAGAGCCAACAACCTACGTAAAAGAAGGGCAGGTTGTGGCCTACGAGTGGTTGAACGGTCCTCCAAGCTATGATGCATGCAAGGAGGTGCCAGGATGGCTCGCGAAGGTGGTTCAGAATCACGCTGGTGACGCCATGTCAGCCGAGAATCCAATGAACGATACCAAGCTTTCCATGATATGCGCTCAAAGTGACGATTCAAGTACGATACCCAACAGCGAGGCCCGAAGTTCACGTGGGGAGTCAACTTTCGACGGATTGTCGAGTGACAAATCACTGCTGTTGGCCGAGTTGTCTAAGCTATTGAAGGAGAAAGCAAACGATACGACCAGCACGTATGCCAACTCGTTGCCCCATGGCTTATACGGCACTTACTATTGCTATCGAACTAGAGGCCCTCGCAAGTGCTACCTGGGGCACCAGCACAACGGAAGCAACAACTTTAATCTTTTAAAACGGGAACGCAACGTGTGGTACCGTTGTCACGGCCAAGAGTGCTCTCACAAGCCTCCAAAGAAACAAGGTGAGCTGAAACTCAAAGCTGCTTTGCAAGATGCCTCGACATTCCCTGTCAATCATCACGACGATATGCGTGTCATTACACAATTTACGCGCGGGACCCAGGAAGTACAAGAGTTGCTTCTTCGCATTGTTGTCGAGCATGCAGCACCCCAAGCTTACGCCAATCTGGGCCGGCTTTTTGCATACATCTACATGATTGAAGGACGTCTTCTTGCAACGCGCAACAACGCCGAGAAGAATAAGGATATCTACTTCTATGTATGGAACGGCTCCTCTTGGACGCCAGACTCGTCCAACCTGGTTGCCAGCGTGTTTACCTCACAGATGGGTTGCCTTTTGGCATGGTATGAGGTGCAACGAGACAGTTGCTTGGCAAACCTACGAGCAAAGCACCCTCATCTGGAAGGGATTTCGACCGAGGGGGAAGGTGCACGAAAAAGTCTTCTAAAGAGAGCAGACTGGCTAAGTTGGCCGAGCAATCGTGCCTAGAGGAACGAGATCGGAAGATGCCAAGCTTTGGAAGGATCAACGTGCAGGACATTGGAGATGTGCGGAAATGCTTGCACTCGGCTGTAACCGAGTTGTATGTTGACAACCTCATGGATCTATTCGATCAGGAGAATCACGTCGCAAACGCACCAAATGGATTGATCGACCTTCAAACGGGTGATCTCTCAACTCATCACCCTCAAGATCTCTGCAACAACAGCACAACTCTGTACGTGAAGGGCGCATCCAAAAGCGCAACGGCACGGTTCCGGACCTTTCTGATGGACGTCCTTCCATCCGAAGCCATCGGCTGGATGCAGATGTTTCTGGGATATTGCCTCACCGGAGAGACGAGTGAGGAGCTCTTCGTGATCATGAACGGGGAAGGGGCAAACGGTAAAAGCGTATTGAAACAGGCATTGCGCAAGGCGTTTGGAAACTATAGTGCGGTTGGAAACAAGGCTATTTTCATCAAGCCTTCCTTTAGGGCCGACGCGTCTGCAGCTTCATCGCACTTGATTTACATCAAGTCCTCTCGTTTTGTGATAGGTGACGAAAGTGAGAAAGACAACCATCTCAACGACTCGTTCATAAAAGAGGCGAGCGGAGGCGGGGGAATCAACGCACGAGAGCTGTTTTGCAGGACGCAAGAGTATGTCCCGCGGTTCAAGCTGTGCTTGTTAACCAACTTCAGGCCCCGTTTTCCCTCTGACGATGTCGCCTTGATCCGCAGGATCGTGCTGATCATGTTCAACTATATTTTTAAGGCTCCGGACGAGTTTGACGCTAGCAACAAATACCACAAGCCCATTGACTTGACTCTAAAGCCTTATTTCGAATCAGAGGAAGGAGCTGCCGATGTCCTGGACTTTTGCGTCGAAGGGGCGACGATGTATTACGCAAAGAAGAGAGAGTCGCCAACCTCAAAGGTACTCTCTCCCATTCCAGAGGCCTTTAGCGCTGCTGCTCGTGAATATGCAGAGGAGAATGACAAGTTGCAGATGTTTATTGATGAGTCGTGTATCACAGGCGTTTCATTTGCTGTCACAAAGGCCGACTTTGTCGAGCACTTCACGGCATTTTTATACGCCGGTGGGTACGACACGAGCTTGGCTGGCGACGGTCTGGGAAGGGCGATGGCCATTAAGGGCTTTTCCAAAACACCTCTGGATGGAAAGAAGAACAAGATGATCAAGATGCTCAATGGGAATGGGAGAAAGGGGGGATTCTTTGGTCTCCGTTTGAAGACGGAGGAGGAGATGCAGAAGGAGTAGGCAACGGCTGGGAGATAGAGGGCGTGATACTTTTGATACCCAAATATGGACGTTTCAAAAATCGAGTATCAACGACCAAAAGATGCTTCATTTAAACTTTTGAGGTGGCTTATGCGGCATGAAAGTCGAGGAGTCTCTTTGGAAAGGAGCAAAACGCAGAGAAACGGGGGGTCGTCTTCGACATGTTGCCTAGTTGTGAACAATAAAGTTTGATACTATTGATACTTGATACTCTGTAAGGTACTACATACATTTTTAAAAAAAAGGGTGTTGATACACACGTATATATATATAGGTGTGCCTTCAAAAACAGTATCAATAGTATCAATCGTATCCGCCCAAATTGCTATCATATCGAACATGCATGTAAATCTTCTGATACGATGCAACTCCATTTGCAATAGA